TAGAGATGTCATATTCCAGTTGCCTGATGTAGGCTTATGGAATATTGTGAGAGCCTAGTGGACAAATGGGCCTAGATTAGAGGTTAATCAAAGGGTCAAGATATAAATGAAGATGAGGGTAGGGGGAAATGAAGAAAAGAGGAGAAGGAGCCAGTATAGTGGGAACATTGCATCATAACAGCTTAGCTATTAACCCTAAAATTAAATAGTTATATAGACAGTAGCCCCGATGTCACGGGACTCATGGGAGGTTTCAGTGGACAACTTAGGCTGGAATTCTGGAGAAAAAATGCCTGCTCTGGTGCGGACAGGGATCCTGTAATATAGGATTCCCACTTACGGGGGTAATGGGACTCTTTTGAGAAGGTCAGGGAGGTGATTAGATCGAGTATGTCATGATGTTATAGAGAGTTGAGCTCTTGTTTGATGTCCGATAGAGTAGGAGGACAGTTGGAGATCCATTTTCGGAGAATAGCCCGTCTTGCTATTAGGAGGCATGTGGATATCCAGGGTTTGTTATTTTCTGAAAGAGGACGTTTGAGAAGAGAAGAGTCCAGTGGCTGGTTGATCCATATATCCGAAAAGAAGAAGTAGCAGGTTAATGGGTAGTTGAAAGGTAGTGATGCCTGATATGAAGTTGACCACTTGCTTCCAGAATGTGGAGATAGTAGAGCAGAGCCAAAGTCTATGGTGTAGTGAAGGTTTTTGATTTCCACAGAGAGGGCAAGTAGACAGAGCCGGGTCATTTCTTGAGTAGAGACAGGGCATGTTGGCACGGTGAAGAATCTTTCGTTGCTGTTCACGCCAGAATTTGTTGTGGTTGAAGGCACATGTGGAGTTAAAGCCTGATAGTAAATGATCATCTGTAAACGCATTATCGAAATCTTTGACCCAAGATTTCACAGCATTGTATGACTCAAAGGGTTTGGTGTACAAAGGATTCAGGGGTCTATATATGTTTGATATTTTATACTTTTGAGAGTTCTCCAAGACATCAAGGAATGTTGTACAAAATTTAATAGATTTAATAGGTGCAACAGAATTGACATAGTTTCTTACTTGAAGAATATAGAAAAAGTGGTGTGCTGGTAGTCCGTAGGTTTGTAGAATGCCGTTGAAAGGTTTTGGGGAGCCCGTAGAGGTGTCATATAAGTGTTGTACCGAAGTTAAGTCTTGATTTAACCAAGTTTCATAAGCATCATAGGATTGCGGGGGAGAGAAAGAAGGGTTGTGATGAATAGGGAGAAAGCGAGACAGCCATGGTGAGACCCCCAGTTTACGCCTGACTTCCCTCCATGTGATAAGGGTATCGTGGATGAGAGAATTATGTTTTAGGTGAGGGCGGGAGAGAGTTGATATTGGAGTGTAATAGGGCTGTGAGATCGTGGGGAGGCGCTATTGCAGATTCAATATGGTAGTTGGAGTATTTGGAGGAGTGGGTGAGCCAGTCTAAACCTATACGGGGCAGGCAAGAGAGATTGTAGGCTCGCACGTTTGGAAGACCGGAGCCTCCTTCGCTTCGTGGTAGAAATCATTTGGCAAGTGCTATACGGGGATGTTTGGCTTTCCATAGAAATTTTGAAATTGCCCGATTTAATTTAGTTATGTCACTGTGTTTGAGGAGAAGAGGTATGGTTTTGGGAAACTCACCATCTTGAAAAGATGTGATCTGCCCAAGAGTGAAAGCAGTAGGTCCCTCCACATCTCCAGTTCCCCAATGATTTTAGCAATCGTCGTGGGCGTATAATTGAGCGTGTATAGAGAGGAAGCTAATTTCCCTATTTTTATGCCTAGATACTTGATATCTTTATCAGCAATTTTAAAGATCAAGTTTTGGGTCCATACTGGAGGGTGAGATTTGAATAGTGGGAGCACCTCACTTTTAGAGAAGTTTATTTGGAGCCCTGAGCAGAGGCGGAAAGAAGAGAAAATATGCTGTATGTATGTTAGGTCTAGAGATGGGTGCGAGGTAAAAATTAGAATGCCATCTGCAAAATAAAGCTAGTCTGAATTCTTGCTGACCAATTGTGATACCATGAAGGTCAGAGTGGAATAACAGGAAGCGTGCTAATGGTTCCAGGGCCAGATTGAAAAGTAAAGGGGATAAAGGGCATCCCTGTCTAGTGACCTTGACACGTTTCATCATTGGACGTAATCATAAATGACGAAACGCGTCAAAGTGAAGTGACGTCAGACGCAAACGAGGAACCAGAAGTGGAGCGACGGCCATCTTGGAGAGGGGAAAATTGACTGTCATAGATGGTTTGGACTCTCCTGGATCTGTGATGGCAGAAAGGTTCTTTTATATATTTCATGTGATAAACAAGATTTTATATTGTAAGCAGTACCATTAAAACATCTGGATTTTAGTGTGTGGCAGTATTACACTATTTTCTGTTTCATATATGGGTATCTGGACGGGGGATATGGTGGAAATTGGTCTGGAATACTAGTGTGGATGGATTCATATGGTGTTATGAGTTCAGAGTGAAATTTGAGGATACTGGCAGAAAGATTCATCCCATCATACAGTCTTCTTGGTGATTGTTATTAAGGCAAAAGTTATTTTGAATATTGGTAAGGGTATTTACTCCTTACTTTAGTAGAAGTGTACACTGTGGCGTGTGATTTTTGAGCACAAAAAGAGTGATTCACATACACGTTTTTTTCACTATACATTGTGTATATGCACATGTGCTTGTATATATTTTTATGTATACACTTTTTTTCACTTGGGTGAAATATCACTGGATGGTTTTTATACATTAATTTATTTAATTAAGGATAATGCACTATATGGTCTTTATGTTTTTGTTTTTGAGGTAAATCAAGTTGCTGCAAGAGGCTGAGGATTTGAATCAAACTTTGGACACTTGGATTTATTTATTTATTTATTTTTTCCAAAGGGACATATGATTTTTGTGAGATTTTTTGATTTTTGATTTATTTTTGGGACTTTATTACATTCACAGATTTGAGGAAAGGATTTATGTTATTTATTTATCACTGAACATATCATTGTTTATATTTGTACACCTCTAAGGGTAGGGGTGAAGTGTGCTTAAATAGAAATTGGGGATTAATAGTGATTATTTATTATCATGAAATACCAGTAAGTAGGCACACAGGTGAGGCGAGCGTCGGCCATCAGGGTGGTCTTTGTTTTGCCGAAGTAAAGTTGACCTGTTGGCGCTTTGGTGGTTCTTTTCGTGGACTACGCTGGTCTCTTGGGGTGGGGTTTCGTGGTGAATGCTGTGGTGGTTGAGGGCCCATGACATCAGAGAGATTATTTTGAAAGTACAGAAGGGCTTCCTCTGGGTGTGTGAATGATTTGGATTCTCCTGTAAGCGTGGTGAAGCGAAGTGTAGCAGGGTATGCAAGGGTGAATTTGACCCCTTTTTGGAATAGTGTGGCGCAAATTTGTTGGAACGCTTTTCTTTTATGGGAGACTTCTTGAGAGTAGTCAGCAAACAGTAGTAGCTTGTGACTGTCTAGCTGTAAGGAACGTGAATTGCGAAATGAATTGAGTATGGCTATCCGGTCAGCGTAGTTGAGATATTTGACGACTGTCGAACGCGGTGTGCGTCTGTCATTTGAGGGTGCTCCTAAGCGATGTGCCCTTTCGACCTGGCAAGGAGTCGTATTGCCCAATGCTGCAGGAATGCATTTAGAACAGATATCAGACAATGAGCTTGAGTTGTAAGATTCTGGGAGGCCTATGACGCGCAGGTTATTCCTGTGTGAGCGGTTTTCTAAGTCGTCTAGCTTTTCCAATATGTTCTGTTGCACACGTTTACATTGTGTAGTACCCGCCTGCATAGCTTGGACCTCATCTTCTAGGTCAGAGATGCGATGTTCTGCTTTGGTTATGCTTTTGGCGTTTTCCCCCAGGTCCCTTCTAAGTTGTTCTATGCCCTGTGTTACAGCTCTGTCTACTGCCTGAGTAATGGTAGGTAGTAAAAGGGAGGCGACAGCCTGTGCAATTTTTTCATAGTGTTCCATGGAACTACTGGTGTCAGCATGCCCTAATGGAGGGATGTGTGATCCCTGTGCCTCCCCCCTACCTGCTCCTTGGTCTGGCACTGCTGCTGCTGTGAGGAGCGTGGTCGGTGGCCATCTTGGCTGCAAGAGGGGGAGAGCTGCTCCCAGGGGATCGTGCAGCGGGATCAGGGCCGGACGTCCTCAGCCGCAGATACAGATCCATATAGGATCGGGTGAGGCAGACTCAGGGGGCACTCCTGTGTCATTTAGGTAAGTCCTCCGGTACAGGAGGCTGAATTTTTATGCCTAGGTTTCCGGAGTCGCAGGACTTCTTCCCTAGCTCATGTGGCGCCGGAACCAAAAGTTACTGAAGCAAGGCTTTAACCTCCCTAGCGGTCTGATTATGTCCATATTTCTGTGCTCTAAGCGGTACATTTTTTTGCATGGAAATATGTGTTTTTTTTATTGTAGGCCTGTCATTTTTAGGAGTAACTTACTGAAATCTGTCCGAACAAGAGTCTAGTAAACATCCCGGGTATGTTAAAAATTTGAAATACGAAATCATAAATTATAATTTAACCTCCCTGGCGGTATGATTATTTCAGATTTTTGGTGCTGAAAGCGGTACCATTATTTTGCATGGAAATATGTAGTTTTTTTATCGTAGGCCTGTAATTTTTAGGTTTATCCAGATATGATAAAACTTGAAAAACGAAATCATAAATTATAATTTAATAAATAGTCATAAAAAATAATAATATAATAATAATAAATTGAATTCAATAATATAATCAAACCAAAAACACTGAAATTTGAAATATAGCTCCAAGTTCGCACACCACTGAGCAAAGTCGCAAAATCGTTTTCAGTGTCTGATGACAAATTTCCCCACAAATCATTGTCACTGAATTCTGCAAGTGGTTCTGATTTACTATCGCTGTTCTCTAGCCAATCTAAAACCGCTTTTGACCTAAAAGGACGCTTTTTGGATGCCATGGACTTTTCTAAGTTTCCAGGCAGAAAGAACAGTCAAAATGCAGGCAGGGTACAGAACAAAGCACTAGGGACAAAATGTATGTGAAATGCTTTGAAACAGCAATGTTTTACTATGTAATATTCGTTTACAAAAAAATTCCATTTTTTTAAAATTTTTAAATTTCCCGCCTCTGGCGGCGCCCGTACGTCCCGACGTCACAGGGACCGGAACACAGGAGCCGGATGCCGGCATCAGCCGGAGGAGATGGCCGGGGAGGCTGCAGGAGGGACATCGCGGGAGCGACGGACAAGGTAAGTGCTGCAGGGAATCCCTGAGCAACACCGCATGGTAAGTCTGAGTGTAGCTCGGGGATACCGCTTTTGGTACTGAAACTCTACCCCAAGCTACACTTATGAATACTGCCAGGGAGGTTAATAAATAATCATAAAAAATAATAATATAATATTATTAAATTTAATTCAGTAATATAATCAAACCAAAAACACTGAAATTTGAAATATAGCACCAAGTTCGCACATCACTGAGCAAACTCACAAAATCGTTTTCAGTGTCTGACAACAAATTTCTCCACAAATCATTATCACTCAATTCTGCAAGTAGCTCTAATTTAATATCGCTGTCGCTTTTGACCTAAAGGGACGCTTTTTTGACGCCATGGACATTTCTCAGTTTCCAGGCAGTACGAACAGTAAAAATGTATGCAGGACACAGGACAAAGCACTCGGGACAAAATGTATGTGAAATGATTTGATACAGTAATGATTTACTATGTTATTTTAGTGAATTTAGTGAATGTCACTTTTTGTCATTCTCAAATTTCCCTCCGTTCTGTCCCCCGTACATCCCGATGTCGCAGGAGACGGAACCCAGAAGACAGATGCCGGCATCCGCCGGAGGACATTACAGGGGACACTGCAGGAGGGACATCGTGGGAGCGCAGGACACGGTAAGTGAAGAACAGATCCTGGAGCAGAGCCGCATGGTAAGCCCGAGTGTAGCTCGGGGTTACTGCTTGTGGTACTGAAACTTTACCCCGAGCTACACTCGGGAATATCGCCAGGGAGGCTTTTATGAGCTTCCACTTCTAGCTCTCTTCTACTCTCAATAAGCCCTCTTTGGAATTCAAGGGAGAGAGACTCCAAATTTTCAGTGATTTTATCTCCCATCACTCTGGCCAAAAGGCGGGTCCTGAAGCCGGTCATTATTCATCTCCAACAGCAATATATCATTACCGGTGGGGATTTCCCTTCAAGCTCGTTGTCTCCAAGGATAACACCCAAGTTATACTCCGTGACCTACATGAAGCGGACCCAGTGCGCACAACAAATTTGTCCATGCCCAACATGATGTCAGATGCTGTCCGGATGGTAGGGCTATCAGGAGGCCATCTTGCTGGAGTCCTGGAGGAGTCACAGATATACACACAAACCTTTCCATCTGTAAGCGCTTGGCCAGTTGCCAGCCAAACTTGCAAATGCCTTTTCATACCAAATTAGAGGGCTTAGTATTCATGTATTTGATATTATTTGTTTCAATCCATAGAACCCAAACTGGCCTGTTTATAGTGGACTTGGGATCTTGCTTTTTAAGTGCTATTTTGAGACTCAACAATAATGCTTATAGTTACTGATCCTTTTTCTACCATATAAACTTTTTATCTTCAATATACTTTGATTTTTGTGAAGTATGTGAACTCCACTATAAATTATATTAGGTTGAGAACACTATTCATTTTTTTCCAATAGCCCCTTATTATTTTCTAGCTTTCTACAGTGAATAGATCCCTTTTATTATTGTCATTGTATCATTCTGGCTCCCCCCAGTGAAATATCTCTTTCCATTTCTTTTAGGGGGTATCATTTTATGGAGATACATAATGATGTTAGATATAATGAAAATAATATGAAACATCATCCAATATTGTGTAGCCAATAATTAATTTATACCACAATTTATACTACTAGGATCACTAGTGGTCATGGCTGTGGATTCGCCCCTGTGGACCCTATGGGATGATTCGATCTGGTTGAGTCCATGGCGATCTGGTTCTGAGGTGTGTGGGGACATGGCAGATTGAGTAGTAGGGAGATTTTGTTCCCCCTTGTCTACATGCATGTATGCATTATTCTTTTTGTTGATGGATATTTTGTCATTTGTAATTTACATTTTTATTAGTACTCTATGCACATGTTTTCTGCCTGAAGAAGCCAATTTGGCAAAACATGAAGAACTTGTGTATGGGGACTTCAGTTAAAAAATAATCAAATGGCACATACTAGATATAAATTATGGAATTAAACCAGTTATTTTTTAGAATCTTTTTATGTATTGTTAAAAATACAATATTTTAATCAATCTTTAGGGTAATACATGCACCTAAAAATCCCATTCCTATTGTTCCAATTATCTTCATATAGATGAGTGTTTATCACACAATGTAACAAGAAAAAGACTTGTGACTAGGATTCTCTATAATGACATGTACCCAATTGTTTGCTACGCCACACTGTTATGAATGGCAAATAATTAGTGTCTCTGGAACTGAGAAAGTGATTAAACTGTCTAAAATTCTGGTTCAGTTCAGTTTTGTTAAAGGTTGTTTATTTCAGCTTTCTGCTACACCTGTGAAATCTCATTAGCGGGAGATTCACCTCTTGCAGTCCTCTGTATAGCAGAGTACAGACTAGGAGAGGGAGAAACAACACAAAATGCCAATCTGTTGTGCCGCTGTGCTCAATGGTAGCAAGAAACATGGTGATAGGAGGAAAGGAAAGAGAGATGATAGAGATGAGCTGGTTAGTCTGCTGCTTCTTTTTTCACTTCCCAGCTATGCACTGTGGAAAAGACAATACCTTTAAGTGTGTTACTTATCTGGAACAGAGAAAAATCAGGTCTAATGCCCTGCCAGACATGGCTGTGCTGGATGGTAGAGATGTGTAAATCTGAACCAGATGGACAGAAATGGAACTTCGTGCCAGTTGTTCTAGATGTCACTGCGGCATTAAGCCTAGAATCACATTTGTGCAGGTTTGTGGCCCATGTTCACATGGGCATGGCAGCCCATTCATTTACATGGGCTACCATGCCTGCATTTCCTGTAAAAAAAAGATCTTGTACCTTTTTCAAAATGCAGCCACAGAGTTGAGATGTGTGGGGGTGCCATTAAGAAAGAATGGCAACATCATGAGTCTCTACAGAGCAGTACAATTTAGCTGCAGGTGCTTGAGGGTGCAGGAACAACTATGATTCCCACATCTACAACAACCCGCTCAAGAGTGAACCTTGAAGTATGACTTTTTTAAGGTTCTGCTTGCTATCCTGAATATTCATAGTCAGGAAGCTTCTTTCTCCTCTTCTGTTAGCATTTTTACGGCTAGCACATGTGTACTGCTGTCCAGACAAACTGGTTCATAGTGCACACCCTCCCTCTCCCAGTTTGAGTTCTGCTGTGTAGATCACATGAGCCTGAAATCAAGAAAAATTTAGATAAAATATTTTCCTAACTTGTCAGTAAAATGAAAGTGGAAATAAAAGGTATCCCTGCAAATAAGAAAGTATATACTTACTCCTTCTCTCTGTCTACAACTCAGAATACTGCTCCAATGCAGAGAAATTGCCACTTCAAATCTCCTACCGATTGAGCACAGTGGGGGACCAGGAAATCAATATTCCTAAAAGTAAGCTTCTGAAGAAGCTTCACATGACATTTCCTTTGGATTATACTGACATCCAGTGGTGTAGACAGTGGGAGATGTACGGTAAGTATTTGTTTAATAAAATTCACTTTGCAAAGAGAAAATTCACTTGAATGAAGTGAACTTGTATTTGCCACAATAATCCAATCACACGCAAGCAAAAATCTTGTATTGTTAAAAAATGTTCCTTGCATATGATTGGGTATTTTTTTCAAAGTGAATTTTCATGTAATCCACTAAGTGAAAATTATCTTGCATCTCTCTTTGTTTAGTAATTTTACCACATTGTCTCACACTGCTGCTGATTATGCCTTACAAATGCAGAAATGGGCATTGGGCAAATGGGCATTGCAATGGTTGTGTGAGGGATTTTATTTCAAACCGTTGTAATTCCTACACCGTTCACCTGATTAGGATGTAAATACCCTCAAATTAAAGCTGACAGTCTGCTGTTAAAGCACATCTTGTTTGTTTCATTTCAAATCCATTGTGGTGGTGTATAGAGCCAAAAATGTTAGAATTGTGTAGATGTCCCAATATTTATGGACCGACTGTATTTCAAAGCCTAAAGGATTTTGGCTATTTTGAAAAGTAGTCTCTTAGTTTATGCTTTTATGTACTTGAATGTATTGATGTATTTCTCATTTATGCAACATCTCTAGCATATCCATTCTAATACTGTTCCTGCAGTTGTCAAAATTTCCTTAAGATCTACTAACAATTATGTAGTTGAAGGACCTTAGAAAGATCTCATTAGGACAACAGAGGCATGACTTCTTGCTTTCTCTGTTGCCATGGCCAGTCACCATCTTTAAGCACTGTGTGGGTTAATCAGTGTTCAAGCAATGCATCCACATGTTAGCTGCTGGATCTTCCTTGTCCCCAGGAAATTCACAAGTGTCTCCTAGAGCTTTCCAATGTGATCTCTGTACCTCCATTGTTCCCAGTGTTGCTTCTCAGTGTCTTCCAGTGTGATCTCTGTACCTCCAGTGTTTCCAGTATGGTCTAGCTTATTTCCAGTAACTCTTTGGGGTTGATTTACTAAAACTGGAGAGTGCAAAATATGGTGCAGCTCTGCATAAAATCCAAGCTTAACCACTTGCCTACAAGGCACTTATACCCCCTTCCTTACCAGGCCAATTTTCAGCTTTCAGCGCTGCCGCACTTTGATTGACAATTGCGCGGTCATGCAACATTGTACCCATATGAAATTTTGATCATTTTTTTCTCACAAATAGAGCTTTCTTTTGGTGGTATTTAATCGCCACTGGGCGCTTTACTTTTTGCGCTATAAATTAAAAAAAAGTGCAAAAAATTTGAAAAAAAAAAAAAAGTTTATTTGTTTCTTTTATAAAATTTTTCAAACAGGTATTTTTTCTCCTTCACTGATTTGCGTTGATGAGGCGGCACTGATGGGCACTGATAGGCGGCACTGATGGGCACTGATAGGCAGCACTAAAGGGCACTGATAGGCAGTACTAATGAGGTGGCACGGATAGGCGGCACTGATAGACAGCACTAATTAGGGGTCACGGATAGGCGGCACTGATATGCAGCACTGATAGGCGGCACTGATAGGTGACACTGATGATGGGTACTGATAGACGGCACTGACTGGCATCACTTCTGGGCACTGACTGGCGGCACTGACTGGCACAACCCCTGGGCACTGAC